CGCGCTCTCCATGACAATTTTTTACTGAACTGCATCAGTTTTCAGGAACACCCTAAAGTGCTTTTTGTCCGATTTTCCCATAGGAAATGGTGAAAATACCATTTTTGAGTGTTTCTTAAAACTGATGCAGTTCAGTAAAAAATTGTCATGGAGAGCTCGGAGATATCTCATTTTGTAGAGAATTCGTTGCTCTATCACCCTGTGTAATCAAAACAAACTTTTATTTTCGGGGTCTGGGTGCTGAAAAAAATAGATTTTCGGTTTTCCAAAGATCCTGGTTTTGGGAAATAAGATGAGAATTTCATCTTTCTGGGACCTTTGTTGGAAACAATTTTCTCTATCCAAATCACTATTTGGATTCTTCATAGGAGTTACCATTAGTGAAAAAAATCGAAATTACACCTGTTTGAATAATTTTTGGAGGCACTGTACATCCAAAAAGTCGATGTGTGTAACTATTGTTTGAATAATTCCAGAACAAAAAAAAAAAAAAAGGTACAGACCTACAAATTGTAACAGTCGAAAGAATGATATTGGAGGTATCTATCTGTGTAACTCCTTAAGTTCAAAGGTTTTCGTAATTTTTATGGCTGCTTTTAAACTGACATTGTCTTTGCTGTCTTTTTTCATCAAACATCATGCTCTAAAAAAAAATTCTGATGGAGAAAAAGATCGAAAGAGTGACTGAAAATTTGATCGCGAATATAGTATGATTTTGGTTACATTTGTGTATAATTTGAGTTAAATTTCTTGTGAAATTTGATGAAAAAAGACTGCAAAAGAAATATATCAATTTATAGGCAGCCATGAAAGAATCTTCCGAACTTAGTGAGTCTGACACAAATAGATACGCCTGATATCGTTCTTTCGAATGGTGAAAGTCACATATCTTTTTCCCTTTTTGGATGAACAATAGTCTTTATGATACTAAAATCTATTTATATTTCATTGCCATTCTTAGTACTACTTTTAAATATCAATAATTTCAGAATTATCTTGACAATGTTTCGATTATGAAATTAATCTATTTCCATCTGATGATTGTTTTTTGTTTCACTATAATAAAATCTTATGTTAAAGGGAATTTTTCTATATACTTAGTAGATTTTAGTTCTAACATAGTAAAGCAATTAACTAACATTTTTGATCCAGATATTGAAAAAAATTCTATTTAATAATAACAATAAACAAATATATTTAGACCAGAAAAAATCGGAACAATGCAATCATTATGTAGTCGATGTTATAAACTTCATTTTAATCCTCGTTCGGGAATTCATACTCATGTTCCCATACTTTTCGATTATTTTCATTTATCGGCAATAACAACAACTATTCATGGTTCATTACTTTGTCTTATACCACCTTATGTATTTGATCGGTATTAAAAAATTATTTGTTTGTTTTTTTTTGTCTCTCTTATTAATTTTTAATTTTAAAATCTTAGACCAAATGTACGTCGAACTTCATTATTCAGTTTTCTTTTTGCTCAAGATTTATCACATGTATATTATTTTAAATATCTTCATATGTTTTTCTTTGTTATCTATTATTTTCTTTTCTTTAGATTACAACTGATCAATTAAATCCAAATTTACTTGAACGAGCTTATCATCTACATAATAATATATGTGAAATACTTCTTTCATCTTATGAGTCTTTGCAAGATTTTTATGAAAAAATGATTCAACATTTACCAGCTAATGAACAAAAAGCAATACATCGTAAATTCATATATTTTTTTTTTTTCTTTAAAAAAGAATTTTTTTCCTATTACAGATCATCAAAATTGTCGCCAAAGATTAAAAGAGCTTTTTCAAAAATTAAAAGTATTTATCAATATATTAATTATAAAGGAAAAAAAAGCTTACAATGAACTTTATTTTCTTTTAATAAAAGAATATAGATGATGTTCATTCAATAGATAATTTAGCACATGCACATATTGCTCAATGTTCAGCAGAAAATATAATGCTTTGGTGTCAATTTATTGAAACATTTGGTTTACATGAAATAACAGAAAATGTTCTTGCGAAAGACTATCATTTCAAACGAGTAAGAAAAAAAAAAAAAAAAAAACATTTCTTTATTTCGCAATAATCTTGTGCAATAACATTCTAATATATAGGTAAAGCGTCTTTCAGAATGTTTCTTTCTTCGGGAAACATCACGAATCAATCTTCTCATAAATGAGTATGAATATTGAAATTACTTTATTTTTGTTTTATTTTATCTAAACAATATTTTTTTTTCTTCTTCCATGGTTCAGAAGTGATATATACAATGATTTACATGAAATTGTTAGAAATTCTTCATATTTTTCACGTTTACCACATTTACCAATTGAATGTATTGAACTTGATGGTGTACCAGATACTCTACCAATTCTTCTCGAAGAAATTTATTCTCCTACTGAACAATCATCAACAGCAACTATTTTATCATCATTAAAGTCAAAAACCAACAATGAAAATTCTGCTTCACAGACAATTCAAAATCTTAGTAAGAATATAATTAACGATAAATGATCTTGTGAGTAATCTTCATAGAATATAATTGTATGATTATGATAGATACATTTATATTAAGATGTTTTACTTAGAAACTTTGATTGTGACAGGTCCATTTCAATTTTCTTTATGAGTTTAATGAATATGGTGGATTTTCTTTTCAAAAAAAAAAAAAACAAACGTGTCAATAGGACTCTTTGATATTGACTTTTTTCCTTAGGTAAACTTCGTTCAAATCTCAGTCATAGTGCTAGTGGAAAATTAAATGAAACAACGTCCAATTCTGTTTCAAATAGTCCATCCATATCGCATTCAAAATCTCAAAAACAACAACAAACAAAACCATCACCAACTAACAATAATTCAAATAATACCAGTTCAACACCGACTCGTCATCAATCTGCTAAAAGTTTTTCACTATTTCGAAATCATA